CAGAACAGCACCTAATTTTATCAACAGTGTATATAGGGTCCGCAGCCAGAGTATTAGCTTTACACTTTGCCTGATTTCTTGAGTAAAGAGACTATAACACAAACCTCACCTACTCTCTTCCAACAGCCGCTTGTTTGTAGCGAGACCTTAGGGGTGACGCAGCTCAAGGAAGAACATTTATGATCATTTCTTTATCATTTCCTTGAAGTAATAATCATCATATTAATCATTTTGCCCTGCAGACGCTGTGAGCTCGCCATCCTGCTGCAGTCTGCAATGGACTGGCCTGAGGTCTCGCTACAAAAACAAGCGGCTGCTGGAAGAGAATAGGTGAGTTGTGGTTAGTCTCTTTGTTATAGAAACTAGGCAAAGCTAAAAACATATTTGGTGGCTAGTGCTGTGGCTAGGACCCTATATGTACTGTTGATGAAGTTAGGTGCTGTTCTGAGCATTATTTGTGGCTATAGAGTGGCGTTGTGGTTGAGCGCATTGCTTTCTGTATTGCTACCTGTGGTCATTACTAAAGTTGGTATAACTAGAGAAGCAAGCAATCAGCAACATTCATCTCTTGACAGGGTGTCTAACTCTAAGTTAAGGTGTGTTTGACCCTAAATTAATTTTATGCCGGACTATCCCTTTAAGGGGTAAAGTGCAGTCTGGCGCAGAGGCGGAAAAACACCAAACAAAATCGGTGAGTGCTCCAGGAGAACGTGACGTCAAGTATTTCTTGTTACAAACTAAAGAGAAAATCTGTTCCCAACCTGATTATCAACTTTTGTTGCTCCAACTACCAGAAATTAATTTAAGCTATACTTCATTCTAGCTGTCGTGTTAACATGTATCTTAAAAGTCCAGTTTCAGGCAGAAATAAGTCAATTTTTTAAAGATACTGACTGTTTTCATTATCACTTGTGTTGGTTTCTGCGTTCGACAGCAGAGAAGATGACATATCCAGCTCCAACCTTTGACAACCGACTCTGCATTTCCAAGGTGAAACCACAAAAGCATTGAAAGAAGCAGACTCACTCAGAAGCGTTCGAGTAAGAATGGTTTTCTTTGCACTTTACAAATCGTTCCTATCGGTACATCACCAGAGGAGCCTTTTCAAAATGCCTCATAAAAGCAACACTTACCCGATCAAATACAGAAGCTATGCAGAGGCTTTTTACACATTTGCGTGTTCACTTTCTCAGGATTGCTTAGCAGAAGGACGACCAGAAAACAGATGTACAGGCAGGGATTGTTTTTTTCGTCATATCTGATCTTTAACCCCTCTCGATTACTGTTATTGTTTAAGAAGTATTAGGCTTTTCTGATCCAAGAGAAAGATTTCCAAAAAGAGGCGTAATGTGAAAAAAACAATCTCTCCATTAACATCACATTAAATAGAGAATATGAACCCCAAATATAGGCGTAAATAAGCTTTTACAGTGACTTCAGTTATGCAAATTAGCTAAAAGGACGCCAGAGCAAGAACATGTTTTTAAGAACTTATCAACCATCTATCTGGCTGCTGGGAAGGACTGTGTGCATCTGAATAAATATGTCGACTTTACTTACACATGCATCTAGATATGCAGTACATATCTGCATATACACACACATGAATGTAAACAAGCAAACGAGGACTGAAAGAAAAGCTGGCTGGCTTATGTAAATTTTAGCCGTGGCTCGCATAAAAGGAAACGGCACAAACATGCCACTTAAAATTAGTATGCAGGAGCTGAAGTATGATGGCACCACAGAGAGTATAAGCACAATATAAAATGAACTGCAGCTTTGCAAATAGAAAGGAAGTGACAACTTGGATCATTTTGCTCAATTATGTAGTTTGTAATGAATTTAAGTAGAAATGGCAAAAGCATGTTTTGAACTTGTGGTTTCTTCTATAATAGACAGTAATATCAATCAATATGCAGATGATGCTGTTCTATATATCTCTGCTGACTCTGGAGCTAATTTTTGGTGAGTCATATATATAAACTAAAGGTCTTGTTGGTTTTGTTTGTCATTATTTTTTACATTCAAAAACTCACAGGAACTGTCACATCAGCCACATAAACCACGTCTGTTTATCTTATTCCAGAGCCAAAGATATTCATATGGATTACCTACAATTACACTCCATGGATGGAGGTAATAAAGACCTGTAGTGTATAAATATCTCAGTATTCAGTTTGATAATTCATCTGCATTTAAAAACTGTATGAAATTCCTTCTTAATGAACCTTGACTGAAACTCAGACTTTTACACAAACTGATCTCTCTTGATGGAGGATGGAGTATTATTGAGTCAGTCCTTCTTTCAGTCCCAGATCATTGTGATTTGATCTACAGACACACTGCTTCTTTCATTCTCAAATCCCTGGAAACATTCATCACTCTGATTCAAAACCAGAGATTTCTATAACACACACTTCTGTAACACTTCTTCTCTGGCACAGAGGAGCGACAAATCCCTGTATCTTTGTATCTATATTGTACTCGACTGAATGGCTGCAGCTCAAAAACTCCTCCTTTGTCTTATCCATGAAAACCCAAACCCTTATTTTAGCACATTTAGCTTCTGTCTGAAACTCTTCTTCATTTAGGCTGTTTTTTTCCACTAATATAAAAGTACACACAGCTTGTGGGTGTTTCTTTGTACACAGCTGTGTAGTCATAAAACAACCTGAAATGCTGCTGTTGTATTCACACTTTGTGGTTTCCAGTCTTTATAGAAGGTCCAGGGTTCCTACATAGTTGGAATTTCCAAACTTTTCCATTCCCTACTTTTTAGAATTATTTTTGGAAATACCTACTTTTCTATTTTAGAACACAGTATTTTAGAACTGTTGTCATAGTCTGTAAACAAATATTTTTCCAGACTTTATTTTTCATTTCATACTTTTTAAGACCTGGAATTTAATCAAATGTATTTCCAGACTTTCCATACTAGCGTAGGAACCCTGCAGGTCTGTGGATGTGACAGTAACAGGTCTTTGGAACCGTTCAGATGCAAATTCAACTTGTACTTGCCTTTGTTTACAATGGAGTCATCCATTACAAAGACCCTAAATATAGGTTTCCTCCATTTTTTTAAAGGTGGGGTAGTCAGGATCTGAGGAAGTGCCAGTTTTTGGGAGAAATCTTGAATGTAAACTCTACCCCTCCCAACCAATTTTCCCCTCAGCTCCTCCTCTCCCCTCCCTCTCTGCTCCAGCAAGCCCCGCCCACAAACAGACGCTCCTGCTCGCTCGTATCGTTCCAATTAAATTCAGATATAAGCAGATAAATACTTCAGATAATTACAAATGGGGCCCAGTCAATGTGAAAGTAAAAAGCATTGGTGCTACTGAAGATGCCAACAGACTTCCAGCAAACACGATGTTTACAGGACTTCTACAACGAGGATAAAGTGACATAGTCCAGGACCCGAGGTCAACACGCTACAGCAGGCAATAAACACTTCTGTTACAGACACTTGGCTTACTTTGTTGAAGCGGTTTACCTGTTCAGCAGAAAGGTTACAGGGCCCGTAAGATCCTGAAGTATCCTCCATCACTGTTGACCCGTCTTTTTAGCTCTTATCCGGTCCACCTACTTTTTAAGCATTCGTTACTCCGCCAGTCTCCAGTATTTAGTTTGTTTTTTTGCTTGCATTGGCAGTCGTGGCCAAAGGAATATTCAGACAATTTTCCGAACTTTCTGGTTGGTTTCTACTGTCCTATATTGTAGCACGCTAACTTTGTTTGGGCTCGTGAACGACACGGGGAGCAGCGTCTGCCTCACAACCAATCATGATGGGGAAGGTGGGGAATGGCTTTGTTTACAGTCAGAAAGAGCGGAGCGCTCTGAAATTTTTAAATGTTGACTACACAGACATAACAAAACACAGCGATATCGTTATTTTACCAAATATCATCAATAACTAATAGCTATTGACTGATATTAAAAGCTTTTTTGTATATGCTTCTTTAACGGAATCCTGCCTACCCCACCTTTAAGGCAAACATCCACCTTCACCATCTTCTTATGACTATTTTTGTATTCAACAGTCCCTTGCCAAATATTCAAAACACATTTGGCAAGTAATTGTGTAACATAAGCGTACTTTTGAGGAGGCAGGTTAGCTCAGGCTGCTGTTGAGATTCTGGCTTTGGCTTGACTCATGAAGTAGGATAGAGATTTAACATAGTGCAGACCAAGAAGAAAAGACTCCCCATAAGAATGTGTCTGTTTATCTCTGTCAGCTCTCCTGTGCGCTCACAACTTGTCCAGGGTATTTCCCTGATGTCTGCCCAGTGCATACTGGGACCATCTCCAACCCCAGAGCACCCTGGGAAGGATTAGAGGAAATAAATGTGCTCTCCTCTCGGTGTGTGTCTGGCTGATCAGAGAATGACATCAAATTCATCGAGTTGCTTTTCCGTCAGGCTCTAAACAGCCCTCTCTCTCGGCGGACCGCTCTGTTATTAGGCGCCGCCACAAAGACAGAGAGGAAGGAAATAGGAAAGTCCTATAAGTCAAATTGCCATCCGCAGAATGCATCTCAAACTGAACGTGATCAGATAGACGGAGGACATTACCATTTCTATTACTGCTATTCTGCCTCCAGCAAAGCAGTCCGTCGTCTGTCTCCGTCGAAATAATCGTTTTTTTCCCCTCCACCAGTAAAATAAGGGGCATTTTGTCATCGATTTGACAAAGAAAAGTGCATTTATAATTCATAGAAAATGTGTGAATTTCAAGAACTTGTTTGTTCCTCGCTCTGTGTCTCTGTGCAGCCGAGGCTCGCACTGGAGTCAGAGAATCAGCGGTGGAGCCAGCAGTGAATGGGAGGTCCACCTCAGTCCTATGCTCCATTAGCAGTCAGTGTGTAATAGCACGGCTGGACATGTGTTCGGCACAGATAACAGAGAAGTGGCTGAGACTGTGACAGAGAGAGACAGCCCTAACAGACCGGCCCTGATGTTCCAGCTCCAATGACACGTCTGCCTCCTTCTCTCCCTCTTCTCTTCCCTCAGAGTCGGCTTCTTTCAAATACCTGCAGGTATGACGGCGCCAAAGAGAGAGATGGAGAAAGAGCAAAGAAGCTTTTTGAGGCTGGAAAATATCTGGTTAAATTGCAATTATTAAGCAAGACTCTGACTAATTGATTCAGCGAGTCTTTGCAGATCTTTACCTCATTCAACCCAGAGCAGCTTCTGGGACTGCTGGATTATGCAGCCAGCACTGAGGCCTCTCTGTTGCTTTATTCACAATGAAGCTTATTCATATTACATTTCTGTTGTGCCTCTGCTTTTGACAACATGCCCACATGGATACACTTAAACAAATTTGGAGCTTAAATATTTATAATGTGGGTATTAAATCCAGAAAATCATGAAATTAAAATATAGGTTCGCTGAAGGGACAGGAATAAAAACACACTTTGCAATTCAGATGGGTTTTCTTTGTACTGTTTTATAAGTCAGAGAAGATGTTTTTAGTGGGGTATTAAATTTGACATTTCTCTCGGTCCACATGGGATAAAAATGGCCACCCACACTGACATTTAAAATGCAAGTGCTGGATGATCAGTGCATCAAAATTTCAGGTCATGAGGTCCAAAAAAAAAAACAGTAAAAAGACTTCCTTTTATGGGAACTTTTTAGTAACTTAAAGCCGCCTGATTAGTTTGGACAGAATCAAATGTTTTGCCTGGTTTGTAAAACGGTTGCTCGCACCGTCGGTCCCGCTGAGATTCACCACCCTGGTCTGTGCCGCTTTGCAGCTTCCGTGTTATTGTTTGGTCCATATGGCCGGGTCTCAGTGGCTCTTAACATGGGCAGCTCTAAGCTCCCATAACCCGCCTGCCAAGACATCGCAAAGAGCCAGAGTCAGCATGGGGATGGGGTGGGAGATTGGAACAACCTGCAAGCCAAGGATATAGATACAGTATGTTTGTCAGGAACTGGAGCACCGAAACAGAGTCGATATTTAGATTAGTATTTCATGTAGAGACGGCGACAAATGCGTCTCCATGATCTTTGGGGCCATTTTTGAATCTTGCTATTTTTGTCCACTAATTTCAAAGAATGGACAAAATCCTTTTAATGAAGCTTGAATATCTTAAAATGAAAATCTCAATACTGTGCAGCTTTTTTTTACTCATTTTAATGATCTAAGTGCACCTTAAAGTTTCTTGTGTGATGATATTTCCGCTTTTTCTCGAAGTCTGAAGTAAAAGTCTGTGGAAGAGAAGAAACAAAATCACACACTGGATCTAATCCAAAATCCCGACAGAGAATAGCAGCCTGAAAATGAATAAAAACTGTAGTTTAAATCTGCATTATAAGAACTTCTCACTGTGAGCTGTAGTCATTTCATTAAGCTGAGTGCACAACAAGCTTGTTGGTCAGCAAAATACACGCCAACAGCTTTTGTCAGCCAGGAAACCGTCTGAACTTGTGTATTTTTCCATCAATATGAGACTATTGCATGTCTTATTAATGTAAAGTGGAGTGAATTATGTTGAACCTCTGCTATAGCCTGTGTACATTGCTGCTAGATGTATGAGTGTATTGTTTGAGTAAATTACTACAGCATTTACTATAATTGAGTTTAATACATAGAAGAAAAATCATGTGGCTCGGGGTTCAAGTGGAGCTCTAACTCACTGTAATCAAAGGTACTTAGTCACTTATAATCCGCAGTTCTTGATCAGAAGTGGAAGTTTTAAATATAATGTTTACTTAAGCGAACACTTTCATGGATAAACTCTAAGAATTACTTTCTGACCTTGAATTTACCTGGAAAATTCCAGCAACATGGAAGCTTTAAATTCATCAAACCAGAACAAAAGAAACACACAAAGACTTGTTTACAGGTAGACAAAGACAAAGGTCGTTATAACTTACAACACGCACAGAAGAGTACGGAGTTCGTATTATTATGACACACCTTAGGGGCACAGACCTCCTGCAGTGAAGGGACAGAGACGCTCCAAACAGACCATAACTTCACAGAAATGTTTTTTTAATATAACACAGGCAATGTTTTCATATAAAAATACTTTTTCTAAGCTTTTTTAATCAAATGTGAAAATAATATGAAAATAATTAGTTTTTAGATACTGATAAAAAATTTATAGAATAAGTTTGAATAAAACGGGTCACTATTTATGAAATTGAAGTTTTTCTTTATCTTTTGATGAAATATTCACAGGACAAAAATGATTTGGGGGCTTCAAAGTTTGCCAAACTTGGTCAGAAATGCAGTTTCATTATGTGCTGGAGGGGGAAGAGTTAAAGCCAAGACTAAATCTACATAAAATCCTAGGATTAATACAGCTCACATGACTATCTTCTTGTTTTTCCATATTCTGACTTTTTCGAAGACAAAGGTCATTATCACTTACAACATGCACAGTAGAGTACGGAGTTTATATTATTATGACACACCTTAGGGGTTAAGACCTCCTGCAGTGAAGGGACAGAGACGCTCCAAACAGACCATAACTTTACAGAAATGGGTTTTTAAAATCACACAGTCAATGTTTTCATATAAAATACAAACATTTTTTAAAGCTTTTTTAATCAAATGTTTATGAAAATAATCAATTTTTAGATACTGATAAAAAATGAATAGAATAATTTTGAATAAAACAGGTCACTATTTATGAAATTGAAGTTTTTCTTTATCTTTTGATGAAATATTCACAGGACAAAAATGATTTGGGGGCTTTAAAGTTTGCCAAACTTTACCAAACAAACAATTTTTTAACACTGTAAGGAAATTTAGTGTTCGCACTTAACTTCTGAGATGAGATTGAGATGGTTGGACATGAATCGGCATCTCCAGCTGCAGGGGAAGCAGATCCAGCGTCTTGCTTACTGACACCTCTACAACTACAAGTCCAATTCACATACTTGAGACTTGACTGGGGACCTTCCAACACTGAGCCCTTCAGCCTGAGCTTCTGCCTCTCCAAGCTGACTCATTATTGGCTCGACGTATCAGTGTTCAACATTTATGACTTTTGTCCTTGTGTGTGACTGTTGTTGTGTAAACAAACAAATTCATACTGAGCAGCTCTGACATGTTTCTGCCCAAACTCGTACACCCGACAGTGAATCTGCAACTTTTCATGCCCTCACTCCGTTGACTTTGCAGTCGGACGTGCGTCTCAAATTTCGCAGCATATTCAGTCTGAATTATCCTCCATATGTGACACTGAATACCTCCAACAAATTGATGCTCGTAGCCTCACACCCAGATCTGACAGGAAGCCGGAGCTCCAGTCTTGTTGGGTTTTTGCCAACATGGGTCAAACACGATCTCCCACCACAGACGCTACACTCTTCAGGGTTTGATCTTTGGGTTTTTAAGTGTGAAATAAACAACATAATACTGCTGTGTTGCCATTAGCGTCGCAGTGACCTCATTCAGCTAATTCATTCCCAGAAACCATTACATAAGAGTCAACCTCGGACAACAAAATGAGTGTTTGCTGTTGTCTATTTTTGACGTGTTTTGGAGAATTTCTCAGAAAATGACTCATACTTGTTCAAACTCCTCCACCTACTGCATTCACTGAGTTAAAGTTTCCTTGAACTTCTGATTTCATTCACATTCCTGTTTTCTCTGCAAACACAAGCAGAAGCAGCCTGCGAAATAACACTGCAGACTTCCTTTTTCCTTTACGATGATGGACTACCTGAGGAGGTCCAAAAACAGAGACTCAAAAGGATGCTTTAGATGGATTTTCTTTACTGTTCTGGACCCACCGTGCGACCAGAAGATTGATTAACGGAGTTTGGATGAGCTGGATGTAGTTTATCTAAAGGGACAAACAAAAAGAGAGGAAGAGAAAATGCCCAATTATTCCAGTTTGGTCCTTTCATGGCAGATTTCTGTTTGTCCGGGAGACATTGTGATCAATTAAAGCTCCACAAATTTGCATTTCTATTTCCATTTAGTTCCGTTCAAGGAGCCAATATAGTTCTTTTGCAGTTTAAGTGAAATAACTCCGACTAATATCCTTTTTTACATTTGTTTAAGTGATTTGATTTAACGATACTCTCTCAGGAAGCAGCACTCGACTGTTTGATTCAAACTGAACTTAATTGAGCATCGGGTCTCCTGGAGGAGAAACAGTCAGTCACAGTTCAGGGATCAGGTCCAGGTCACATTCATTAGCAGGAACAGATTCAATTTATTCCTAAAGGAAATGGGTCAAGAGTATACGTTCAAACACGGTGGGGTGCAGGGTGAACAGGTCTGCCAGTTAATTGGCTTCCAGTGACATTTTCACTTTGGGTTGAACAGCAGCTATTTCCACAGTTAGAGTCGTAACTAATAGACCAGCAAATGAGGAGAGTGTTGACTCATATAATCAAATAACAAAAGAAGGAGAAGTCTGATGCAGTATGGCAGGTTAATTGCTCCAGGGAGACCTCAGTTTGAGTTTTTTTTTTATTGCTGCAAATGATGAAATACGTCAGTTCATCCGAAGCTCTTTATGTCGATCTCTTTTGTTTAATTTAATGGAATTAGTCAGATCAGACACAAAAGGATGTTTCTGCCTTTATAGCTTTATTTATTTATTTGTTTGGGGTTTTACTGCAGCACAGCCAATCAGCTTGTCGACTTTTTTTAAGTGTTTTTCCAGCAGATTCATTTGACGCCAAATCTGATAAAGAGTAGAAGTGTAATAAAGCAAATCATCATGAGTTATAAATCACTGTTTATGCTGTTTATTGGTTTTAAATGAGGATACTAATTAGTAAATAAGATGAATTATTTCCCCCCTAAACGATCCAGGGACTTTTACTGTCTCCACAAACCAAGCGCGAGTAAAATCATTCGCGCGAATAAATTACATGTTAAGTCAATGCAAAGACGCGATCAGACGCTACTACTACTCTTGCCGCGTAAATTATGCAAATTAGGCTGAAAATGTCTCAACTTGAGTGGATATTCGTGTCGTGATAACCAATCAGCACGAAGGTTGTCGGGTGACGTATGAACATGGACGGTTGTTTATTGGTTTCTAAAATGGAGGACAAACTGATTGTGTTGGTGTGTGGGTGCCCTGAATTATATGAGACCTTTTCTTTCAATCACTGAAACCTGAATACAAAGGAGCTCGCCTGGAGGCAAGTGAGTGAAGAGGTCGGATTACCTGGTAAATTGTAAAAAACTTTGTCACTTGATCCCGCCAGTTGAATTGGCGTGGATTACCGTTGAAATGAGCATAAATGGCTTTGACGCGCGAATGAAGCGACTAAATACTATTCATTAATGCGTCTAGTTTTGCACGAATTAATCAAGTAGATGATTTTACTCACACTCGGTTTGAGTGCCCTATTTGTTTGTGACAGTTTAGCAGTCTTTGAAATATCATCCTGCTTTCTTTAACAGTCAGATGTACCGCTAATTTTTGAATGTGAAAGTCGAAGAAGCACAAAAAGCAGCGTCATGTCTAACTCTCAATCGGACACCTTTCCTGCTTTAGCACTTTGACACGTGAAGAATAACCGAATAAAGACAGTTAAACCAATCAGTGATAGACTTTATGATTTTGTAAACCATTAACAGGTAAAGGTGTAACTATCCATTGATCTGGATTGATTGGTTGAACAATGATCCAATCAAATTGATGGAAAGTCTGAACATTGATGGTTCAAAAGGCAGCCTTCCAAAACTGTCTCTATCTCAGAAACTCACACTGAGTGACATACATTAGTTTTAGGTTTCACTTTGGCCACAGGGGGCGCTATAGCCAGTACAAACCAGAAGTTCCTCACAGAGGCCTTTAAAAAAGCCACAAATGTGAACAACCAGTCACAAAACTTAAGAAACAGTGTTTTACTTTCAAACAATCAAATCTCGACTCTGCCCATTTTTGCACACAATACTACGTCAAAAGCTAACGGGATGTAAATCTCACTGTCATGATGCACCGTTTTCCACCCTTCATCCATTCATGGACACAAACCAGCTCGTACAGTGTTAAGATGCTGGATGCTCGTCTTCAGAGCTGGCACGAATCGTCACACCGCTTCTAGGTCCAGATGGAAGGATTTGGACGCATGGGAGAGAAATGAAAGAAAATACAGCGAAGACAGTGTTTCAGCCTCAGAGGACGTCGTTTCTTGGACGGGGGGAGCTCCTCGCACAGATGTGGGTGATGAACAGGTGTTATAAGACGCAGACTTTTGTCTCTGATGAATGAAAATTGAATATATCCACCTACATGAAAGCAGTCCCAGGGTTCGTCTTGTTCTCTAACACATGGATGGAGTGATGATGATGATGATGATGTGCTTGAAGTGGAACTTCTTCTTGTCTAATTAAACCTTTACAGGCTGAGGCCAGATCCTGACGCCTTTGAACACTTTCTTTATCACGCGATGCTCTTCCCCTCCAACTTTCAGTGCATTATGTTGTCACTGCTGGTGCAACGCAGCCGCATTAACATGCATGCGGTGTGGCATGTAGCGCAGCCTCATCAGCTTGTCAAACAAAATTACAGGTGCAGAACACACGGTGAATCATTCATCACCTCACACTGTCCTCTCTGGTCCCCGACTGCTTCCTCTTTGTTTAGCCACGCTGCTCCCTATCGGAGATTCATCCAATCAATGTAATTGCGGGTGATTGTTTGACTCAATCCAGTGCCTTCTTACAATCACTGCAACGATCAATGGCCATCAGTCCCGACGTCCCGCTGTCGCTCTAAAGGATTATTCAGAGCCGCTACAAGAGGAGGAATTATTCCACACGAAGATTTGTCTGATTATTTCTGCAGGATTAAGCACTTTTATACCTGTGCTGCAGAGATCTTGTCATGAATTATGTATTAACAGCATTATTTAACAAAGTATACATAAAAAAAAAAAACGCCGGGCGATATCGGAAATCAAAACCTCTTTTTCGTTAATTGCCTCCGTTGTCTCTGCACAGTCAATATGCACTGGCTGCAGAGGATGAAGTCGTCTGGAAAAACCTGCAATAAAATTCACATTTGTCACTTTGGTTTTGCTGCATTTGAGCAATTTTTCACATCTATAAGTCATAAGAGTTAAGAAACAAACGATTTCACAACTAAGCATCTCATTAAAACTTTTAAGGTCGTCTTTTGAGTGACTGTTTCATGAATTCAGACCACAGTTTTGCACTCTTTTTGACGTCCCAAACATGTTCTTGCTTGCATGTCTGTTTTCAGCTTTTGTTTATCATGGCATGATTATTTCTGATTCCTGAAACCAGCCCGTAAGGAAGCAGAAGTAGGTTTAAATTTTGATGTCAGGAGATTGAAGTGCGGCCAGGGAAAGCGTGTAAATCAAGAAATAAAAAACTGACAGGACATAAAAGGTGGAAGATTCCCATATACTGTAAAAAAGAGAGGAAGTTAAACCAAACACTGAGCCCCACAGCGGGAGAGTAAAGAAAAGTATGTAAAGTAAAGCGGGATTTATTCTCGGGCAGTTCTGCATTTATGACCCGGTATTTTATCACAATGTACTATAAAAGTGAAAAACTGCACCAATCTCTGATTTTTTAACAGGGGTATGCCCAGAACTCTTAGACTGGGGTGGCCATTAACTGATTGGGGGGGCCGGCTCCTTAATTTAAGGATCATGTGCACACTAATGTACCCACACATGCATGAGTCTACAGGGAATTAATATTTTCTCTATATATAAACTGGTGTATGGATCACTTTTTGTTTTTTTAAAGGGCCCCATTGATGGTTGGGTCTTAGCCAAAGTCTCAGCCAGGTGATTCTGCAGACCAGAGATCTTACAGAAACTTGCAATGAAAATAAATAATGAGATCAAGAATATTCCCATTTGTCACCCATTCTGTTGATAACTTTTATGGACAGAATTTGAAGGGTCGAGTTCTGTGGCCTCAGGATTGGGTCACTGCTTTATGCAGATGACTTGGTTCTGTTGGCTTCATCGGGCCGTGACCTTCAGCTCTCACTGGATCGGTTCGCAGCCGAGTGTGAAGCGGCTGGGATGAGAATCAGCACCTAATCCAAAATCTGAGTCCATGGTTCCCAGCCCAAAAAAGGTGGAGTGCCCTCTCCGGGATCCTGCCCCAAGTGGAGGAGTTCAAGTATCTCGGCTCTCGTTCATGAGTGAGGGAAGAATGGAGCGGGGGATTGACAGGGGAAGTGGTGCCGCATCTGCAGTGATGTGGATGCTGCACAGATCTGTCATGGTGAAGAGGGAGCTGAGCCGAAAGGCAAAGCTCTCGATATACCAGTTGATCTACGTTCCTACCCTCATCTACGGTCACGAGCTGTGGGTAGTGACCAAAAGATCAAGATCACGAGAACAAGCGGCCGAAATGAGTTTCCTCCGCAGGGTGGCTGGGCTCTCCCTGAGCACCTGAAGATGGATTGATGGATGGTGATCAAGATTATAGGTAAACATCCTGGTTGAGAAGATGTTTAGGTTGCACACTTTGCAGCACGGGCTGGAGGTGAGTGCACGACATCTGGTCAGTCAATATGTGCGCATCTGGATCAGAGGGCTCTGGTTTGGTCAGGAGCAGTAAAATAGTTCCACTGACACCACAGACTTGAGGATTATCTGGACGAATAATCCGCCTTGAATCAGGCCAAACCCCCTGATCACTGAGGGCTGCAAATCAGACCCCTAATCTGTCCGGAAATCATCCAAAGTATGGCCACTCTTAAGTATCCTTGTGAAACAGCCAATTTAATGCAGCGATTTAAACATGACGATTACTTCAACTCTTCCTCTAGACTTTTTTAAAACTTCTATAAAACAAAACTTTGTCGTTGTTTGGCTGTCTGTTCTTTGGTGTTGGTCTGATGTCTGTTTTTCTGTTTGGAAAGTAAAGGCGACCAATCAGAAATTTAATGTTTCACTGAAACTCAAGTATTGTAGAAAACCTGACAATCTATTGAAAGATTGTCTCTGTCTGCACTTTTTTTACAGACCTTAGTGATAATTCTGGGGAATGGATTGCTGGTTGAGCTATTGATGAGCATGCAATAACAATAAATCAAACTTATCTGAAATGATGAAAAGTGAAGGTTTGAAAAGCGTCAGATGAGCTGAATATAACTAACTCAAGGCTATGACTCAGAGTAAGACATTTCCCTCAGACCAAAATAAAAAAAAAAATCAACATTTATCAGCCACAAAGATCATGTGTGATTTATTTGACGCCGTATTTGCAAATCCTCATTAGATCCTTTAATAAAGATGAACTCTGATGGCACAGACAGCTTCGCCGAGCTCGCTCTGAACTCTCCTCCAGCCCGCTGACAGCTTGCTAATCCTCCTCCTTCTCTCATATCAGCTTCTTCTGGAATCACGGCTTAGTTTTCATCAAGCCGGGCCGGCTGATGGTAATGAGCTTGGCATTTCCAGAGCCAAACTGATAGGAGTTGTAGTACATAACAGTGAAGGACTAGTTTCCCCCTAAAAAACATGCATCACAGAGGTAATATCCGAGCAGTCTGATCAGATCTTTGCTTTTAATTTGAAATTGGCTGCGCCTCTAAAATAAAACCCTCTCTCTGGGATTCCTAATGGATTAAGAAAGCAGCAATAAAAGCATCTATTAATCTGAAGGGGGATAAGTAATTGCAGGTTTTTTGGGGGGCATATTGAAATGTCAGAATTTAATACGACTGGCTGTGTTGTGCCTCTTCCCCACTGTGCCTCCCCTCTCTGCTGCTCTTAGATAATGAAACCCAACACGTACTTTATATTTGTCTCTGCATTTCCACCCCAGCAGCCAGGACTCTGTGTGTGTGTGTGTGTGTGTCGGCCACGGTGCTGAGCAGTAGCGATGGTCTAAGCTGTGCTGATAGATGGCTGGGCTGGAGGCTGCGAGGCGCTCCTGCTCGCCTCGGCTCCCACCGACAAAACGCGACCCCTTTAGCCCCGGGGTACAGCTTAGAATGCGGCTATTAGAGCAGTCCGGAAGATTTCACGAGCTCGTTATAGGCGAGGGTCGAGCACACATGCACACAGACACACACACACACACACACATAGGCAAGGCCATGTACTGTATGTGCACACAGACATAGAGGCCACTTAGGATGCAGGTCCATGAGCAGAGAGGGCAGGATTCAAGAAAACAACTGGAAAAACTCGTGAGTAAGAGCGAGGGAACGGCTACAGAAATGGATCCTATTATACACAAAACTGAGACAATGAGAAGATTTACAATTTCATAACAGCGGCATCATTATAGAGGCGGCAGATCTGCAGCAGATTTACTCCTCAGGCAGGACGGCTTCTCAGGACTCGAACAGGTGCACTGTCAGATTCGGTGCCCGTTAATTATGTTTGCTCGCGTAAGTGGAGCTTGTAATTTTGTTTGCCTCCTCCAGTGGCGTTCGCAGCTTCTCTTGCATTCACTTAAGTCACGGAGAGAAACAGACTCTGACGGCGCTGGATGGCTGGACGGTATTACTTTATGTTATTAAATTTATTATGCAGGTCACTTTCAATAATGTTTGTTTATTTGGGGTTTTAATAGACACTTATTACAGTGGCACCGCAATGGATGTAAGGTTTTCTTAATCCTTCTCCATCCCAGTTTAATAAGTTTTACTGACACTGGCTATACTATGAATCCCTAAAGCGCATATACAACAACGGCTCATCTGCATATGTATGAATATCACCGGAGAGCAGAGTGTTAAAGAGGAAGCCCAGAGCCACTGAGCAATTAAAGGTTCACTCTCTGAAGGAGACTTAAAGGGGAGTTGACGTGTCCGGGGAGGTGGAGACCACCTTTGACCCGGAGCCTGTCCCAGTTTGAACATCACGCAGTACGTTTACATGACACTCAAGAAAACCGAATTATCGCCTTACTCCGATTAAGACCGGAAAAATAAAGTGCATGTAAACACCTTAGTCTGACTATAATCGGAGTTTGAGAACTCCGATTAAGACACCCAGATAATGCGATTGGAATTCGATTTTCTCAACCATATAACCAGCGTAGTCGGAGTATGATGGACAACGCATGTGTGCGTGCGCCTCCGTAACCCTGGAACAAAAACACCAGAGAAGAAGTGGCACTACTATTTAAAGAACTTTCGACTCAGAAGCAACTGCAACAAAAGAAGGTCCACTTCTGAAACGAGGAGGAGAGTGCCGTTATGCTCCCCTCCTGAAAGAAATGGACATTTTAAAGTATACTGATGGTCGCAAAATGGGGAAAAGACCGCTGAAAATACCCATATCGCCCCCTAGTTTTGGGGAGAAGGACACGTTCACATCAATAATTCGATTTTCTCAGCTGCATGTATATGCGGACAAGGAGATAAGTATGATTCAGCAAAAAAAAAAACAAATTATAAGCTAAGTCTGATTAAGCTGTGCATGTAAATGTCTGAGACAAAGCAATGATGCTGTGATGCTGACTTGATTTTTGCTTGTTTTTCAGTTTTTATCATGTGCAACCTCTCAATTTAACCGGCACTATTCACAGTCAAATTTTTCTGTATACTAGAACCCCCAAATTTACAAAAAGTGGGCACATCCTTAGACCTCTGCAATCAATATTATCATATATAATGCAAAGGGATGTACATCATTGAGTTAAAGTATATTGCCAGGAAAATGGCATCAAGAAGCAGGCTACCACCAAACACTGTATAATAACTGGACGTAACATCAGTGGCGTCACTCATTTCTTTGAGGCCAATCGGCAGCAGTTTCCATAAGGGCTGGGTGATAAACAAAAAAGTTACCGATACTGAAATTTACAACAATCATCATTTTGCCCATATCAATATATTCAGTGTCAAAATAAATAAATAAAAGTTGGTTTTGGATGTGTGTAGGTAGGCTATGGTCTCATGTCCCTTCAAGACGCAGTCCTACGTCAGAGACATGACTCCACCCCATCCAGTCCGTGACAAAGAGGGAAAGACAGGTGAGGAGATGGAGGACGGTTCAAAAGTTGTAGCGGCTGAAGTAGAGGAAGTTAATGTGGGAGGGGGTGAGCAGCTTGTGAAGAAGTTATAGTCCATTTATCATTATCAAGGTGAACTGCTCAATATATCGGGATATTGATTTGAGGCATTATCGCCCAGCTCTAGTTTCCATACTGGTAATGCTGATCAACCTATCAGAGGAGGGTCTGTGGCCTCCTTACAAAAAGCTACAGTCTGCCCGCCTGTCAATCAAATCAGCCACAACTTTCATCACAAAAATATTCACTCCAATCTTTCTCACTTCTGCATCAGCTACATTCCTCAAAACTCAATGTGAATCCATGTGTAAATTAAAGTACGGTATATTTTTTATTAACACCCTGATGATTCGAATTGATGATTCTACGGTCTATTGGAAGGACGACGGCTCTCATACTTGTACCTTTGACCCATTTCTCAGTCACACACTTGCACGTATTTGAAGCCAGTCTTTTCAAACTCTCCCTTTTCCAACACTACTCTCTCTGACACCATATTTCTTGGCTGTTTGACAGCTGTTTAATGTCTCTGCTGCACTGAAAACCATTTTCTTCAAAATCGGCTCTGCCTCGGTCATAAGTTGACTTGCCCTACTTTTAAGCAACTTCATTTAACCTGCCCGTCCTCGTCTTATCCCCCCCTGGAATCTTTGTGGTGAGTCACAGCTGTCCTCAGTCATGAGGGGAAGGTACACTTACTTTACAGATTAGTGGAGCCGACCTGTCAAATACTCAGGTCTTTAAAAATCGTCTAACAAGACTTCTCCTGCTGTAATGCCAGTAGTTACTAACCAAATTCTTCCGTTTTATTCTGCAGGGACCTGGCTGCAGAATTTGTCAAAAACACACAATAGTTGGCAATGGGACTCACAGTTCCTGCTACAAAGCCATGAAGGAGAGACCTGTTGTCGACAGTTAATCCAAACCGGATTTCACTGTAGAGGCAAATCAAAGGAGAGTGTTGATGCATTGTGGGAAAACAGGTAAAGTAAGGAATCTGCAGTAAAGTTGCTTACAGCCCCAAATGTCTGTGGATTATTCCCTGGCCCGTCTCCAGACTGTCACTCAGCTCTCTGTTGACTCACCCGGCTGTAATGAGAAACACTCAGCCATGGCCACCCCGTGAGTCCAGTTAGCGTTTTGATTTATTGAAATCCACTGCCGGCCGCTGCTGAGTCACCAACTCTGTGCTGAAAGCCAGACTGATACTTCACAGCTCCTGTCCCTGCTTTCACTCTGCTAAGTATCATCACTCTGTCAGACGTTTTTCTTTGCCCGCACCGTGGCAGAGGGGGCACTCATTTATCCTGCACAGCTTCTATTGACAGGGGACACTTGAGTTGGGCAGCTGATGCATAAACCTCAGACGTTATTATGCTCATAAATCCACTGCTTTTTCCTGGCTTCAGAGGAAATACTGACCAGAAACACCAGCTAACCACATATTTATGTATTCCTTTATACTTTCCTGCTGAAATGCACTTTTTTTTTATAATAAGTGTGAATGCCAAGTAATTTTCCACTCTATATTTATGCACCGCAGTGGTTAATGTGAGAATTTGTCACTCTAATGACCTATTACATTACCTTCAACACTGAGCAAATAGAAGTGGATTAATTCTTAAAATGAGCACGAAGCACAGAGAAGGGAAATGCAAAACAAGGATAGGATGCTGCTGTGTTGTTAAAGTTGCTCTGGGTACTGCACATCGAATGCCATTTAACACACTCTCACACTGAGTTCAGTGAGTGTTCAATATCTTGCCGTGGGACACTTTGACACGTTGAGTTAGAGAGCTGTGGATTGAACCGCTGGTCTACCCGTTAATGAACTACTTGTTCTATCTCCTGAGCTGTAAGCAGCTCTTAAATAACCACAGAATAACCCCGTCTGCAATCACTTACATCAACTGGCACATTTGCAACTCCGATTTCATTTACATAAGAGATTGAGCGCTGGAGGAGTGAGATTCAAGCACCGAATGCTTGGAAATGTAAAGTGCATGAGTCCTGTAATTAAATCTCATATAATGTGATAAACCTCTAGGTAGACTGTATATTTCTGAAACTATGACACATGCTCTGTTTGTCATCACGGGGGTGAACAACTTTAATTTTATTTGTGTCCCCAAATGGAGCAAACATACATCATAACAGTACAACAGTAGGTGTTGGGATACAGTCATTAAACGGGTTAAATAAATGGACAAATTAACACAGATAGCAACATCTAAAATCACAACAGACATGAAAGAAGATTGGGGCCACATGAAGGGGAAGATTAAAGATTTAAAAAATCAAAATTAAGTCAATAAAGTCAAAATTTTCAGATTAAAAATTAAAATTTCGAGATTAAAGTTGACATTTCGAGATTACGAGAGGTCGTGCGTAATGTCGAAATTTAGAAAATAAGAAATGTTGTGAATAATGTCGAAATTTCGAGAAAGTGGAGCTCAGCTTGCTGAGGTATTAGTAGTACCATCCAGCATCAGTTATGGGGTTATACTTAGTAGTAGACAACAATTAGTGTACAAGTACAAGAAGGAGAGGAGCCCTGATTGTGGCGCCACTAGACTGGTCTCCCTGGACTTTGAAGATCGTAGCTCTCCCTACAATCTCTACTGAAGCATTGGATAACATAAAGGTGTCACAGGTGCAACGTGGTCAAGCCTGCAGATACTAGGGTTGCCATCCTGGACTTTAGAAAAAAAGGGACACTCGATCACATGCTTGGGGCAGAGGGCTCGACCATTAATACCAGTTCAGACGGACCAATTAACATAAAATCCAGACAGAGGAGACACAAACAAAGTCATGTGAAGTCATTTATTAACACATTCAGGGGTCAAAAACACACACACAGTGCTGACTGCTAAGCAAACCAGGGTGGATGTACACCAGCTGATAATTTTGAGGAGTCACCGAAGGAGTCAAAAATACAGATTAAGACATGAGTGAATGTGCAAATATACGAGGTGAACTTTTAGCACTTCCCACAGCTTCTCTTAACTCTTTGTTGTGACACAGGTTGTCTCTCTGACACACATGTTCTTGATTGCAGTGGTTATGGATGGACTCCTTGGCCCGCTGCTCCTGCTGCCATCTTCTACACTGAAAACAAAAATACAGATTAAAACATGATTGGATGTGAAAATACACTAGGTTTACAATTAAAGACTCCTTGTTTCTTTGCTTACCTGTTTGTTGTGACACAGGTTGTCTCTCTGACTCTGTTGCACTGATTCTGGGTGGACTCCTTGGTTTGATGTTGTTTTTGTTTTTGCGTTTTGGTCTCCTTGGGTCGGCCGCACCTATTCAACGTCTGAAAGTTTCGCCCAGTCAGGATTGTAACTAGTATATATTTTTTTCGTGCTGGTGGCTCCTTCCTTTTATTTACTCCATCTCCTTCCTCGTCTGTCGTCTCTCCTCCCATTTCAAATAAAGACCACAAAACTTGGTGTAAACAACGCCTCAGAGTGGAGGTGTCCTGATACAACTTTTCTTTACATCCGATACGATACCGATATCTTGTCGCCTTCAGTATCGGCCAATACCAATATTTATCCAATATTGGCACAAACTTGTGCACGACAAGTGGAATAGACTGCTTGTATTGGGGTGCTGATATCGGAGATTTTAGATGCAGGTAGGTATAATCCGATATTTGTTTTTTTGGCTGATATCGGACCAATATCTGATATCAACCTCAGAGTGGCATCGGTCAAACTTCCCTCCCTGTTTCCTGCTTGGGCTCACTGGTGCTGGAATGAGGGCGTGTTTGATGACATACACATACTACGGGAAGAAAACAGAAGACAGAAGCAAAGGAACAGTTCTAGACCACAGAAAGACAGAAATCAAATGAGATTTTGGCATTTCCCCTAAAAAACGAGACAAACTGTGTCCTGGGAGAGATTTTGTTTTTCCCTGGACAGCTGGTGAAAAAAGGAGAACAATTCTGGGACAGGTGTCAACTCTATCAGATCCTGAGTGGAAATGAAGGGAAATCTGCACTTGTATGATTCTAATTTGGCTCTGTGATGCACTGAGTGAATCATTTAATGGACAACATAATTTTTAGCCAACCTTTTGATTCTTTTTTATCTGAAGACACCTGAAAAAAGGCGCTCAGTGAATTTGAGCTCATTCACGATGATGAGAAATATTAATGAGAGCACTTTTGTTCTCTCTCTCTCTCAATGGCACTGTTATGTCTCATGAAGTATAATGAGGGTTTTGATTATAGTTTTTATAGATATTCTAAATTTATACACTCAAGGGTAGAAATTTGATAATTTACTATCAATTTGGAATAATATTTTTTATGATTTCTCCTCATCTAGCAGATGCGTGCTCTTGTAATGAAGGTGCTATAAGACGTTAGTGTAGATGAGTTAAAATAATATTGGATAAAATAGAGAAATGTGCCTTTTCTGTTCTGACAGCAGCCTGTGAAACCTCCTGCAGTTTCTGACACTCTTCACTCACTAAAATATCTCTGACTGACATTTCCGATAAGTCTGCTTTCAAACATGATTTCCCTCACAGCACAGTCCTGTGGCCACAGATGTGACGCTGAAAAAATCAAAAACACCTAACGGTAAAAATGTTTCTCAGCTCAAAAGACTCCCTTAAATCACATTTCCTAATTTAATTTCATTTATTTGATTTCTTCTAATTCCTATGAAGGTCTTTGAGAATTATTTAGATTGAATTTGTTGGATGCGTGCTGTGGTTGGGATTGATTTTTCTATTATTTCAAGGCTGGAAGAATAAAAGCATGATTATTTCCACACAGCTTATCTTTCCTTGTCTGTTGTGATTCCATTTTCAGCACAGTGAAACCCTGGCAAAGACGTATGCGTTTGCCAGCTTATCAGAGCTTTCTCTCGGCCCTACCAGGCCTTTGTAGAAAAATCTCTCTCTGCGCTTCCTTCTTTTATACCCCCCTGTCTCTCTTTTAGCCGGCATCTCTGGAACATTGATGATAATCGCTGAAATCTTAGACGTACGCCAGCCCCATCTCCATCTATGCACTTGCTGTTTTTTTTTTTCTATGTGTTGACCATATAAACACATCCATCTGTCTGCTTTCCCGCTGCTTTCCTCACACAAGTTGTCAAGACGTTATTAATCGCTTTTAGACGAGACACTTCAGAGTGCTCATTTGTTAACCTTCGTTTGTCACAGACTCCCCGAGCTGATCTCAGGCAATTATTCATTGTTGAAGATGGGGGAGATGAGCAGTTCATAATCAAGCAGCTCGGAGTTGAGGAACTCTTTTTGATTGATTGCGAGTTGTCATTAATGGCAAAATAATAAAGGCGCAGCGTGCCACAGGGAAGCCTGACAGGCAATGGGATCGAGAAGAGACGAATTAATTACACATCGTTTCATCCAATCATTCGATCTATCACAGCGTCTCTTATCACTCTTTTCCTCCTTTGTCCTTGGAAAGTTTCCCTCCATAAAAGTTCTCTTTTAATTCTTGATTATTACAGAAAGAGAAAGTTTGTCCACCTTTTTGGAAAGTACGAAATGTTCCAGTTTAATAGCAAACCCCTTTCGTCCTAACCTGCCAAAAACATTCCCGCTTTGTAACGTTACAAAAAAGATGACTCAACTTGGGTTTTGTATTCCTGTTATGACAAAGAAAAAAAAGTAATTTAAGCTCAATGTGAGGTATAATTCCCAAAGAAATCCTTGGCTAACAATAATAACTTTGTAATTGCTGCCTTGAAAAAAAAAAAGAGTGAGAAATAATCTTTTTAATTTCCCGTAATCACTCCTCCAAAGTGTTTTCAGGGGAAAAGAGCGACACAAACAAACATCTCTGCCTCACGCTGCTTTACCTGTCAGTGTTATTTTCTCAGGAGGGGGAAGCAGTTCATTAAAAAGCTGAAAACACGCTGGAACATTTAGGGAATGTAATTTTACTCTTACACGCTCACATAGAAAATCAGCGACACCAAACCGGCCCTCCGAGCGAGAGACGAGGCACGCATGTGGAAACAGGTGAAGTCAGAGATGGAGATGGAGTCACACTATACCTTCAAAATTCTTAAATCTGGAGACTAAAAGAGAAGTACTTGGTTGTTTTTTGCTTCCATTTGGTCATGAAAAAGGAGCTTTTTCAATTTGTTACACAGTGAAACAGCCTGGTGGGTCAAAAGACGACAGCTATTGAATGAGTGAGCTACTTAAATACTAAAAAGTTGAGATGTGAAGGTGGAAAAGATCAGATTTGGAAGAATATTCTGTTAGTTTTGTATAAAACTCCATGAGCTGTTACTTTGGGTGAATCCAGTCATGATACAAACAAACCAAAACAGCCTCCTGGAGCCGAAAAGCGCCACTCTGCCTGTCGCTACCTGATCCGTCCCAGAAATCGATTTGTACTGCACATGTGCGAAACGTACATCACTTCCTCTCTTGGCATTTCAATGTGTTTTACGGCAGTGAGTCGCTACTCACCCGATCAGTACTGTGCAAGTGCAAATTTACTTTAAACTTTACTTTAACTACCAATCGATTCAGAAACAAGCTGGCGATGTGACGGGCTAGCTAGCAGGAGGCTCCAGAGCGAATGCCGAAGAATTCGCCAGAGCTCCTGCCCAGCACGGTGAGAGATTTTGGGCCACAGAAAGCGGCACCACCCGGTATCAAAGGATGATTAATTTGATTCATTTCTAAATTTAATTTATTAGCCTACACATTATAGACAATGAATTTCTGCGTTTTTATACAGCGTACAATTTCAACACTGAAATATTCACGTTCATTCAAGCCTTTTAAAACTACGTTGCAAACTGCTGCAGTCGATGATGGACTGGTCCGAGGTCTCCCTACAAACAAGCGGCTGCTGGAAGAGAGTAGGTGAGTTGTGTTTAGTCTCTTTGCTAAAGAAATTAGGCAAAGATAAAAAAATGTTTGGTGGCTAGTGCTGTGGCTGGGACCCTATATGTACTGTTGCTGAAGTTAGGTGCTGTTCTGAGTATTATTTGTGGCTATAGAGTGGCGTTTTGGTTGAGTATTGCTGTGTATTGCTATCGTGTGGTCGTTACTAAAGTTGGTATAACTGGAGAAGCAGGTGGTCAGCAACATCGATCTCTCGCGGGGTGTCTAACTCGGTGTTATGGTGTGTTTGAGCCTAAATTAATTTCACGCCCAAATATCCCTTTAAATGATGATTTTGTTGACAGTGTTCTGGTTCGCCTAAAAAAGCAGAGTATGCAGTGGCTAAGCCTGAAAACTCACAGTTTGGTTACTTCTTCTTAATGAGGAGGTTGTATAAGAAGTTCAAGGAAGTCAGATTTGTATTTTTATCAAAGCTCACGGCGGAGGCTTTTAATCAATCTCTCAGTAAAAAAAGAAAAAAAAAAACGACTCACTGCCTGAGGAGAAATAAAACAAAGCAAAAGTGCATCTCAGGATTATGTTTGATCGCTCTCAGATAGACAAGGTGAACCTCCCGTCTTTAAGAGACTCAAAAATTAGCGGTTGAGGTTTCCTAAAGCCTCAAATTTCACAGGGAGAGCCAACATTAATGACAGCGGGTTTATACAGAGTTCAGCACATGGCTTTCATCGTTGCATGACAAACAACTGAGGCACAGCAGGGAGTAAAGCAAAACGCACGTGTGCATGCCAAGAGGAAGCACAGGGAGGAATACAAACTAAGGAGAGGGCAAAGACTTGAAAAAGCAAAGAGGTCGAAGGAAATCTGTTTCAATTATGTTGAGAAAGGTCAACTGTTGTTATGACAGATTATTAAACATGCAATGAGAGAGCACAGTATTAATAATCCATGCATTTTCACAAAGAACATTCATGAATACTAATTGTGGAAACAAAACACACGTTATGAGGCTTCATCCTCTCGCCCTCACACTCTGTCTCTCATGTTTCTGGAGGTTTTTCCCCTTGATGATTTCTCTGCTATGATACTCGAAAGCCCTTTGACTCCAACAGTCACAAGGAGAGAGACCAATTATTTTGACTCGATTTGACATGTAGGTCACACATCTAGTCTCAAATATCTACAGCGCTTGGTGTTTTGGAGGTGTGCGTGTGGTGGAAGTAAGCTGGAGTATAGAGGGCAACTTTTACAATCCTTGGATAGCTTTCAGGCTGCGCCGAGAACGAGCAGAGTTAATTTTCATTTACGGAGTATATTCCCGTGGAGGTCATCTTCTTATGACGCCACTTTCTTGTTGACAGTTCCAGTTTAAAACCGCAGAGACAACAGTCAAATAGATATGTTTGCACAAGCAAGATCATTATTAAATAGATAAGAACTTGAAGTCAGTCAGTAAGCTGCAGTCTTTCGCTTATCACACTTATTCTGTCCCTTGGCTTTTCAGACATACGCAGATATGCACCTGCTCCTGTTTCTCAATTTTGTTTTGCCCATCAGTCATGATAAAAGATGCTACTCTAACCCGGGATTTCCACCGCATCCGGAATGGCTCCAACAGTCGCCATTTTAGCTGTCAGCCAATTCCTACCACATCCGTTTGTGAGGCGAATTTTGTGGCGGATTACGGACATCGCAAGAACTCACAAGAACCCACTGATTCACGTGCAATCGCGTGATAACGAGTTGTCTCTATAGCCACATAGGCTAACCATACAAGCAGAATATTGTGTCCTTTCAGAGGAGGAAATCTACGTATTTTTCACACTATAAGGTGCACCGGATTGTTAGGCGCATTAAGCCAAACAAAACAGTCAGATAAGTCAAACTTTATTTGACTCAATAACTCAGTGAGGTCACGGTAGCTGCAGTGCTCCGACAAGCCAAAAGGATTTTAAGTGCGCCTTATAGTGCTAGAAATACGGTACTCAGCATCCTCTCATCCACGGTGTCATCAGGGTGAAGTGCTGTCTATAAACCTTTCACTTGTTCGTCCCTGCCTGTTTGCATGGTTTGAAATACGATCCGCTTTATTTTGAAAAGAAGCCGGATGTTTTATTTTGTGTCTGAGCCCGACATCCTTTCCAGTACGGGTTCATCTGCGCTGAATTTATCCTGCATGCTCTGGCGTCTGGAAAAAATAGAACTCTTGCGATCCGCAGCGGAACGGAAAGAAGCCGGTGGAAATTGACACATTAACTTGAATGGTTACGATCAGCTACGATCGACAGATACTTTTTCCGGATGCGGTGGAAATTGGGGGTGATGTCTTTATGCAAACATTGATTTTGCAGCAGTTTGTATGATCGTCCCAGAAAGGTTACTGCTCTTTTAATGCTGTTAAATAAATCAATACATGATGGGAGGAATGAGGTCAAAGTCTCCAACCATGAAGCGGTTTGACATCCTGCTGCAGATTTAGCCAATCGGAGCAGAGAGGAAGTTTTCAGATCAGCTGAAGGACTCTGTGTTCCTCTGGCTAAATGTTGCACCTCACATCATGGACTTTCATGTTGAAACCCATTCAGTGAAGCAAAGCATATTTTTCTTTAACCTTTGAACAAGGCTGCTCCACTTCCCTCCGTCTCTTTATGTTTTGGCCGCACAAGGTTTTCAAAAAAGAGATGGCACTACGCAGGCATGTTAATGTCATGGCGACATTGGGAAAAATGATCTTGTTTGGAGGTTTTTTTTGTTTGTTTTCATGCACCACTCATGCCTTCTCTGCTTTTATAGCTCAGTCTGACATATAAAGGATGTTACCTTGTAGCTTGTTGCACAGCTTTGCTCCCCAAGGCGAACTGAACCCACTTGTGGATAAGATAAATAAATCATCAGCTCTTTCCTTTCATGAAATATTGCACAGAGGCTAGTTTTGTAAATGTAAATGATTTTCTTTACATCCGCTTTCATTTAAAACAAACGTGAGTAAATCTGAATCCATATGATCAGCTTGTGAATTCAGCTAAAAGTGATAATAATATGCAGGCTAAGCCCCTTGTGTGGAACATATAGTTAGAAAGCATAATTAATATTCATGCAGTTAGCGTACAAGCTGCAAATCCCTGTTGAATTGGTGCTGCAGTCTTGTCATCAGGCGGCTGTTTATGCAGAGGAGTAAGAGACAAAAAGAGCCAGAGTCAGCATCTGCCACTTTATTCCTCTGCTTAAAAAACACAACTCAAATTATGAGCAGCTAGTTATGTGTAAACAGAGAGAGAGTAGGTCACAAAGTGCTCCTCGGAGGGTTCAGATCATGGGTTTGTAACGCAGCCAATCAGCAAGACGAAAATGAGCAAGAAAACAGTCTGCTGCAGCTAAAATGTTGGTGTCCTCTGTTGAAATATTCATCATGTTTTAAGAGAAAATTACTTTAATTTGTCCCAAAATGAACAAACATTAATTTTTTAAAAGATTCTCTGGTCTGGAGGATTTAAGAAACTTATTACAAGTGCAAATAATTAACAATTTTCAAGCACTTTTTCTGCACCCTTAAATTATTAAATAGTTTGCGCATCATGTCTAATAATGAAAATGGTATTAAATCCATTAAAAAGCCATCGGTATAATTAAAAGTTACAGCTTGAGTGAAATTCGGTTAACATCTAGTTTGTATTATTACCACTTTTCTTGTTTCCCAACTCCAGCCTGCAGAAACACTGGTGTAATAATTACATTTATAATAGATAACAGCATGAATTATTCATATTTGAGATATTTCTTAAGTGCTTAAGTGAATTTTTTCTTCATAAACCTTAGAGAACAGGTCCTTGCTGATATTCTTCCTGATTATGTTGCCGTTCTAGGAGTTTTCAGGTTTGGTGTAATTAAAGTTTGAAATAAAAGGAAGATGAGGAGCCGCAGGGCCCGCGCTCAGAGAGGTACTTCATGGGTTTTGGTTGACGAAGGTTCTCCCTACATGTTTTCTGCCAAGGATATAAAAGGAGCACTTAAACATTGAGAGTTTCGATTTTAACTCTTTTAAAGTTTGTAATACCCAAACAGACACTTGATTCAATTTAATCCCTGAAAATCCTGCTGTGATGAATTAAATCCTCATATTGTTAACTGCCTGTTTAAAAACGAGCTCTCTCATTTGACTGAATAATAAGCACTAAAAGTACGGCATCAATCACGATTCAGTTGAAGTATAAATAGATATCTTTTTCTGTATAGCATACTATTTTGTCCCTTACAGCACACTGTAGTTAAGCCCTGCAGTGTCCTCTTGCTTCATTTTGCTACTATGATGGAAGATAACAACACTGCAGTGCTTTTGAATGACACAATCTTTGTGATTCAAAACCTGATTTATCAAACAACAAATCACACAAATCTAACACGTCTGCAACATGTGATCGTCCAACCATATGAGTAATAAAACAGAAATGCTCTTAGTCTGTCTACAAGATGGATTATGTTGCCAACCGCTTGCTCCTCTAGTTATACCAACTTTAGTAACAACCGCAGGATAGCAATACACAGCGGTCTGAGGGGCCATAAACAAACCTCAACCAAAAAGCCACTCTATAGCCACAAATAATGCTCAGAACAGCACCTAACTTCATCAACAGGACATATAGGGTCCCAGCCACCAAACATCTTTTTAACTTTGCCTGATTTCTTTAGCAAAGAGACTAAACACAACTCACCTACTCTCTTCCAGCAGCCGTTTGTTTGTAGCAAGACCTCAGGCCAGTCCATTACGGACTACAGTGGAGTGACGCAGCTCAAGGAAGAACATAATAATCATCATATTTATAATTTTCCACTGCAGACACGGTAGTTCTTCTGCCTTAGCGTCTCGGTCTGATTGCATTTCCATGAAGAAATGATCATAAGGCAGTTTTAAAGTTATGTGCTGCAGTTTGGTTCAAATGTTCACGTCTCTAAAAGTACGGTTAAAACTTCTTGTTGAAATTCAAAGTTTTCTGGTTCTTGGCTGAAAAGTTTAAGGCTTCCAAAAAAGCAATTAATTTGGCAGAAAGAATAATAATAAGTATTTCCATTCAGAGAGGGTCCTCACACTCTTGGCGTTTGGACCCTCTTCCCATTACTGTGACTTACTGTGACGCCTCTGCTGCAGGCCACTCTAGAAAACTTGTAGGGACCAGCATTTCACACATAGGAGACCTGTATGAAACAATGAAAGCAACCAAACTGGAGCTCCTGAAAAGTGCAAATGCGGCCACATTAACACGGGATGTCAGTGAGTTATCACTTTAGGAATAATTGCACACCATATCAACAGTGATAGGACACATTTGCACTCTTCTACTTCTATGTCAGACACTGGTGTAGCAGTAAAGGTCAACTTCTTGATATACGTCTTGATTTGATTCCCAAATCATGACACATGCATCAAAGTCCCTTATGTTTTCATTACAGCTATTCTTATGGTTGCTCTTTCCCCTGCTCTATATTTTCCAACCACTAGGCCAAACCAGCAAAGCAGATGTGGACAGTCCAACAGTCTCTATTTTTTTTATCTGTGCTCTTCTTCTCCTCATCTTCAAAGTCTTAAGGTTGTAAAATCTAAATCACCCCAGAACAACCTGATCCTGCAAGTCCAAGAAGCCTTGCAGCAAAAACCTCGGCGTTACGGGTGGGTCGTTTTCAAGCCAGCAGGCTCATGGCATCAGCTAATGCTGGAAGCTACTCAGCTAGCTGCAGGCCTCACATGCCAAGACGACCAGAGATAGCTATTCACTTCAGCAGCAAGGTTCAATGAGACGGGAACAATAGCAGGCGAGCTTCTTTCAACCCTCCCTCGCCCTCTGCTTTCAAGAGAACGGGTATAAGAAAGACCTGCGAGGCTGCCAAAGGACCACTGGCCTCCTTTCATTATCGCCCTCTGCAGAATCTGATTAAGAAGGATGTCCATGGCTTCTGCCACAGACGCCGGGAACGAGCCTTGCAGGAGCACCTGTGCCTGCAAACTGAAACCAAAAATCCCTTCAGTTTGGCTGAAACAAGACAGCATGTCGCCAAGTCCTCACACACACCACATTCCCGTTTTCCTATACATCCGCTATTCAAGAGCCGGACGAGATCCTCTTCTCCGAGCGAGGGCACGAAGAACAACAAAACACGCACATTTTGGTCTCTGTAGGGAAAGTAGGTTTGTTCAAAAAAATGTGGCCTAAAATAACCTCAGAGTAACATTTACATAATCTTAATACAGAAGCTCTTTCAGCATAAAAGCCCACCGTGAATAACAGGTTTGCATAATTGATTAACTCACCCTCACACGTCACCTTGACTCAGTGAGTCTAGAGCATGACCTCATTACAGCTCTCTCTCTACCTCTGGGTCTGTTTTCTAAGTAGATGCACTAAATGGACTTCACTGTTTACCTGCAGCAATAATAAAGCCACAATATCAACAGAATAAAAAGCTTAATATTACATTTGAGACCAAATAAACACAAACTAGGACTTTAACTTTGTGAAAAATCAATCACTAAAACATCCTGTATGAATAACACTTCTTTAAAGTTCTGGCACTTCGCCTCGCCTTACAGCAGAAATTATTTATCGGCTACAACAAAGCAGAGAGAGGATGGCAATTTAAAAAGGTATGAGTGTGTTAAGTACTGAAAACACGAACCACGCATTAGCCTTCATCTTTTGACACGAGTCTATGATCAGGCTGCGGTTGGAGAAGATCCGGTTGACTCAACCCAAGCGAAGTGTAATAATATTTCATTGAGTCAAACTTTAAGGTGAAAAAGCAGAATTTGGTTTAAGTAAAGAAAACAAATGATGATTACGATCATATCTAAAAAGTGAGAGTCGCCCTTATGAAAGACATTTTGACCTCAGATGTGAGTTTTCTGGTTAAATTCAAGGTTAAAGCTTCAGTAAGGAGTTTTTTGACCTTCATGAAATATGGCAATAACTTTAAATGATACACAAACGCAAACAAGTGCAGGAGGGGAGGTGTCAGCCAAGCAGGTCAAGAAACAGCCTTTTTTTTATGTTTCCCATATAAAATGTACCCAGTAACTGACTTTTATACTTCATATACTTACTTTTATACATATACTTTTGCATATCAGGAGTCAGGGTTATAAGATATTATATCAGGATAAACTATTACGGCTTGTAGAGGGTGAAATAGGTTTGTCCACAGGGGGGCGCCAACATTGACACAAATAAAAAGTCCCTTACAGGAGCTTTAAATGATATCAAAACAAAAATACTGAGCAAGACAGACAGAAAAATGGATTGTACATAAACACAAATTCAGTCATTTTTATATCCCTTTCAAATTGTTTCCACCAGCACAGAAGTGTAAAGAAACTTCGACTTGACACTGAATGTAAAATTCCTAGAGGCTTTTTATGTTTCCCATATAAAATATACCCAGTAACTGACTTTCATATTTTATATACTTACTTTTATGCTTATTTTTTTGCATATCAGGAGTCAGGGTTATAGGATATTTTGTCAGGAGACACTACTTAAGCTTGTAGAGGACAAGAAAAGTTTGCCCACAGGGGGCGCCAACATTGACACAAACAAAAACTCCATTACAGGAGCTTTAAATAATATCAAAATAAAAATACTGAGTAACACAGACAGAAAAATGGATTGTACATAAATACAAATTCAGTCATTTTGTTATCTCTTTCCAAATTGTTGCCACCAGCGCAGAAGAGTGAAGAAACCTCCAAATCAGACTGAATATAAAATTCCCAGAAGTCTTTAAGTTCATTTTACTGCAAAATCTAACATGTTCACAACCTTTAATCTTAACGGCTCATATCGATTTGCATGCACCGTGCAGGGAGAGAGTTTCATTTGTTTTTAAAGCTGTTAAGGTTACAAGTTTTGCATAATTAGGATCATGGCAGACTGACTGTTCGAATAGAGGTTAAAGGTCAGCCCCAAATCTGGCTTTTTGCCTCTTGTTAGATTGGCCTCAATGATTTATACAAAATTTGGACTCAGTGAAAGGCAGGATATATCGACTTAGATAATGCAGGGGTTAAGAGTTGAAAATTAGAGGATGCAGCGTTGCACAAGAGCGAGTGAGAGACCTGAACTGAAGGATCCAGACTGACTGAATGGCAGCGTTAAAGTTTCCTGTTGTAACTATGAAAAAAACTCGACACCAGATAAAGTGAGATTGCTCAAGTGAGGTCAGGTATGTCTATTAAAACAACTGCGGTCTGAAAAACAAACACAGAGTCAAGCCTCTCAGCGAAACACTGAACATTCAGACGAGACAAACCCAGTGCTGACATGTTTAATCCGCAGATATGGACAAACGGATAAAACCCCATCCTTCAATCCTTTCACTTTTGTATGCCGACATCTTAAAATCAGCATTTTACCCCCAATAAAGTCATATTTTCTTTGTTTTTTTCTGCTGTAGCCAAAAATGCATAGATGAATGCTCGAGCTCTGTTAAATAATGGGTGTTTTTGGTTACTATACATTTTGAATATATAAATAATACACCACCTTCAAGCTTGATAAGAAATTTCTGCTCTGCAAGACAAACACAGCTTCATGCTGTATCAGCTTTGTGATAAGTAATAAGATATACAACCCCATTACCAGTACAGTATATTTTTAAAAAAAGGCCTGACAGGAACCCTGAGGCTAACACAACCAGTGTTGTTTCTCAGTGAAATGGTGGACATGTCATTTATATTTGCCTTTAACTCCGTCTACAGGGACGCTGTTCCTAACTCATGTTCTCAGCTGAGTAAATTTTTCATTTCCAGCGACACAGAGGCATCAGAGGCTGAGAATCTGAAGGGACAGAGACTTATGCAGAGGTCTTTAATACATCAAAATCTAAGACATCCCAGGAATTCTTTTTTTCATCACATTTGCAGGCAGACAGAAACTGGAAACACACAGGCCCTGAATACCAAATCCCCCGTCTGTAGTTTTTCTAAACGGCCTTGAAAATGTTGAGGACAAATTGACAATCTGAGGTGATTTTTACCGCCGACATCCAGCGCTGACAAATAATGACACAGACCATTACATAATCTCACTTTGTGCAGTGTCTTCAGAGCTACAGAGAAGGTCCTTCGCTGTTCTGAGCACTCAGAGAGGAGGCAGCAATCAAGCCCATCAATATATTTATTCTTACAACATTTTTTTATCCTCAAGTTTTATCCAGCGTCCTGTTTGGAGTGAATTTAAGAGAAACATGCATAAAACCTGAAATTTTACTTCCTTATTGACGGATGTCTTTACAGTCCTGCAGTCAGTGATTGGATTTCAGTTTTTATCTGAGGTTAAAACTGTGAAAACAAAAAGGTGCCACCATAACAAACAAGATTTTAAGGAAGTTGTGACCATTTTATATAATGTATGTCGGTCTCAGAGGGTTTCATTTAACCAGATTATGCTTTCAGAGCCCTTTATTTATGCTATTCATGAATGCATTAAAACAAGCAAACAGGCAAATGCGGCAAGGAAAGTGTGTTTTTTTAAACACATATTTAAAGCCTGTTACTGATACTGTTTTAGCAAAATGCAATTTGGCCGGAACAGTCACAGTTGGATGAATTTAATGCTCCTGTAATTGAACAAAGTACCTAGATGGTTTTGCTTCCCCTAAAATACCAAATAAAATATCCATTATTAAAATCCACAGCAATCCTGTCTCTACCTGTTTCCCTCAGCCAAACATTATCTCTAATGCGAATGTGATTATGCCACAGAGAAAGGGCATGGCACACAGATGAACACTAACACTGCACAAAAACAAATTGACTGTCATGTACTTATGTTAATTAATTATCAAAAGGGCATGTGCGGCGCAGAGCACAATCGACCCGTGTCGGTCCCTCGGTGCACCTGGCTGTGTAGAGGCCAGGAGAGTCCTGCTTCTATGTGCTGAAAAAGGTCATCCTGCTCAGTCTCCGTGGAGGCCTGTGGCAGTCACACCTGAATGGAAATGTCCCGTGTGATGTCACAATTACTAATGTGAGCGCTGTTAACAAGGTAACTACAACAGAGGTGTGTGTGTGTGTGTGTGCACCCTTTTTACGAAGACCCTCTTTTGCCTGCCCAGTTTGTACGAGACTCTCTTTTCAAAGCCTGTTGTGTTTTTCATCAAAAATAAAGATGAAAAAAAAAAAATAATCCAGCTTCTTGTCACTGACTGACCACAACTGATGTTCAGCAAAAGCTTGTATTTAATTTTTTTCAGATTTCTCCAGCCTTTAATACATCCACAATATCACATCAACTATCAGGATATATCACAACATATCAACATTTGTATCAGGAATCATCAGGATACACTCTGTAGTATCAGGGTGTGACACAACATATCAAGATGTCCTCCAATGAACTTCAAGGTATCAAGATATATCATGGTATGTCATGACATATCACTAAGAATCATAATATATCAGTGTCAAGATATACTACAACACAAAACAAACTATCAAGATAAAATTTTGAAGTATGAGGGTGTATTTGGATGATTGACGACATGCAAAAACAGACAAAATAAGTAAACATCAAGATTGAAAATGACATACCAGGATCTTTCAAGATCTATCATGACTTATCACGACATAGTAATGTGTATAACAATGCATCATGACAAATCAAATGTCAGGGTATATCAAAATGTACTGGGATCTATCAGAAGTTATCACTACATGCATACTTATCAAGTTGCTTTAGGATATATCATGACATATCAAGATATATCATGACGGCATAGGATGATTCATGATCTATTAATAACTATAAAGATGTATTGGAATGTATCGAGACATACCAGATATATCACAATTCACCATATGTCAGGATATCTTAGGATATACTATTATCACACACAAAAAAAATGTATCATGATATTATGAAGTATCAAGGTATGTCATGATATATTTATAAATATCATGATTTATCATGTTGTACCATGAAGTATCAGGATATTTCTTGATATATTTGAAGATACTAACATAAATCAATGCAGACACAATGTTTCATGGGCTATCAAGATGTATCATGACGGCTTAGGATGAAGATTTATCAGAATGTATCAAGACATATCAGATATGTCACAATATAACAAAAAATACAGTATATCGCCACATGTCAGGATATATGGTGATAAATTAAAAATAAAATGTATCGTGACATTATGAAGTGTCAAGATATGTCATGACATCTTAAGAAATATCATGATTTGTTATGTTGGCTCTGACACAATGTTTCTTGAGCTATTAAGATGCATCATGACATGTTAGGAAATATCATTATGTATTCCTGGGTACTTCAAGCATCTTGCTGTATTGTATTGTATCAGAAATGACCAGTACTTCATAAAAAAAACACAGCAACAGCATGGACGAAATGTCCTTCTGAAGGACCTGTTTTACTTTTACTCTTTCAGCAGTTTCTGACCTGTGACCTGATTTTTAAACGCATCTGTCTTCCACTTGAGTAAAGACTGTATGTTCTTTTCACTGTCTATAAATCTGCAAACCTAGAGTTTAATATGCTCGTCTTGCTGTGCGCCTACATATCTGTCTGGTCGGTTATTTGACTCTCTGCGCGTGTCTGAACCTTTGACCTGTCATTTCGTACTTTGTTTATCTCTCTTGACAACATATTGAAATGAGAATTACTTGAAGGAGAGAGAAAACAGTGTGAGTGAATACAGAACGCCTGTAATTGGGTCTCATTTCACAGCCAGACAACACACAGGAGAGTGCCTTGGTATGCATGAGAATTATAACAACTGTTTACTGTTGTCTTGATGAGAACGGACTGTTCCTCAACAGTACACATATTGCAGGCGGCTAAACAAAAAAACAAACAGAAACAAACAAATGTGGTACAGAAGGACATAGCCGATAAAAACAGAAAAGGATGCCAGTAGCCTTCCTAGCTTTTTGATTAAATTTGCCTCAAAAATGAATCAGTGACGATTTTTATGTAATAATGAGAAAGACGGTCTATTGAAGGAATATTGTGACATTTCTTGTCAAGACCTGGTGCCTTCAGTAACCACTAAGCAGCTCGACCACTGACAGCTGGTTCAAGATTGTCACCCTGTAGCTAGTCTGGCCTTGAGTCACTGGCCTCAAGCACAGATGAGTGGTGAGCTGTGAAGGCCAGGCAAACTCAATCCTTTGGCCAAAACCTATGATTTGTGTCATTTTCAACCTAGACTTCTGCAACCACACATGGAACGATATTTCTCAAGACTCTCTCTGGATTCAAAAAACTCTTCATACATATTTTTCACATCTTAAACTAGTTTTCTCCACACCTGGCAACAGACTCTCTTTGGGGAGTACACCAAAAACTTGGAAGAGGAGTAAAAATTGAATTCACAAAGGAATTTCACAGCTTTTGTGCCTGCTAAACCTGCGTTAATTAGACCAAGAGACAACGTGTAATTCACAAAGAACATGCCAAGGGATGAATGCATCTGAAACTGTGCTGCAGAGAAAATGATGTCTGTGTATTTGTGCTGTCTGAGACACTATGCAGACTAGGACGCAAAATTGACCCTGCAAAAAAAGTCTAATTTATGAACATGGGGTAAAGCACATACATGCAGTTGGAGTGATGTCGCAGCTGATTTGCAGTGATTATATTCACAGTTTCACCTTTTACAGAGCTGTAAATGGTGTAAATAAATATAACCCACTTTTTTAGAACTATTTTTTTGGCATTTTTGACTTTATTAGATAAGAAGAGAGAGACAGGACAAGTGGGAGTAGAGAGATAGCAGCTGCTGTGATGAGGACTATAGCCCTCGTATGTGCTAAATCATCACCATCCCATATATAACTCACTTTTATTTGAATGAACTACACTAGCAAACTTAAGATAGTTGGTAATACTTTACGATAACCATAACTTATAAATGGTAAGCAGATAGTTTATTAATGTTTATTTATCATTTATAAAAAGCATATAGACCTTTAATAAATTGTAAATTTTATCATTTTAAAAACCTAACCTTAACTTTACAATAACCATCTAAGTAATGTTTATAGATGGTTTAAAAACCAAATATTAACCATTTACAAAGTGCAACTGACACACATTTTAATCTAGAGGTTTTACAACCAATATTTAAACCCAATATAAACCTTTAATAAATAGTCCATTAATAATTAATTGAAATTATGAATCATAATATCATTGTTTGTTAATGGTAAAGTAACTATTAACTTACATTAATAAACTATCTATTTGCCATTTCTAAATTATGGTTATTGTAAAGTGTTACCGGATACTTTTATAAAACAATCTACCAAATCTAAACATTACATAAAACAGAAAGATGTGTCATGACTCTCGTTAGCTTATTGTGTAAGTGGACAGCTCTGTCAGGATGAGAGTGCACATCACAGCTCTGCGCAGCAGAGAACAGGGATGCAACACAACACAAGAGCTAACTGCGTGAAGTCGAGGGTTTGTACTCGCACATAATTGACACAACATGCGTTGGACCTTAATACAGATATACTGGATTCTTGGACGGTTATCCATTTTCAGAGAAATTTTCCTCGAGTGCTCTGAGAACACTGTTACATTTCTAAAATATGCCTGATATTAAACTCAGAAAAAGTTCTCAATCATATCAGGGAAGTGTATCTTCAGGCGCACAAACCTCTGACAGGGTCATGAGATCGCTGGTGTATCAAAACTTTAAATTAAAAACAGAAGAAGGTCGACCTTCTAAATGTCAGGTTCAGTATTAAATAAAAGATTTCTAGCTCTTGCACAGACTCAAATAAATCTTGAGCCAAAAATGTACACCCTGAGATTTTCACTAATCAGCATGATAAAACATAAGCAGTGCCAAGTTTCATATGAAAGGCTTTACACTATTTATTTGACCCAAGGAAAAGATCATAAATTATACTCTGAGAGCTCATGTTTCATGAAGTGAACTGCTGATACGTCTCTGTGAGTGTGGCGACTTTGATGACTTCCTCAGAGAAATGAAAGTCAAAAGGGACATTTTGGTCGAATCGAACATCATAAACCTTCATGTTTGCTTTGTTATGATGTAAATCCCTTTTCAGCGCATAAATAAAGCTTTTAATGTGGAAAAACATACTAAAGAGCTGCAGTGAAAATTAATAATTAACCCCACAATCCTCCCATGATAACAACATCCTTTTGTTAAACTGAGATTCTGTTTTTCACGGCTCTATAAGAACCGGATCCCTTAAGCCCCCAGCTGAAGGTTAAACAAAAGCGCAGAGATATACAGTCCCATAAAGAATCACGCAGCTCTGAGATTTCACTTTGCTTTTTTCTCTTTGGGAGAAGACAGAGTCCTTTGTTTTATCTGCATACTAATGACAATCCTATTGAATATTATATCGCATGTTTGTGCGCTCTGAAACAAAGACAGAGTCGTTCTTTAGGGGGCTGTCATTGTTTTATTCCAACCTGATGTTTGACACTGTGAAACGAATCCCAAAGTATGTTGAATAATGAATCTCTTCGGTAAAATGCATGCGGTTGGATGATTAAATTATAGCGCTACACATGGTAGATTCACAGTCGCCGTTCAGTTTCAGCCAAGATGTAGTTAGGATTAAGTTCATTTGCTCCGACAGACACTTTATCTCATTGTCTCCTTTAAACTTTTTTACTAAATGACAAATATCAACCTGATATCGGTGAGAATAAAGGAATATTTCATTAAACAGTTCTTATTTCAGATGATACTGGTTTTGTTGACGTGGAAAACCAACCCAAAGAAACTCCATTTTCTGGCACAGGAGATTCAGCGAGTAATCAGACCGAGTTTGTTCAGCTCTTTCTAACAAAACCAAGTCTAGATTTTTAAAGTGGCATCTGGTGCATGAAACAACAAAATCCTAAATTTATCTGTTACACTTAACAACAGCTATCACAACAGTCTAATTTGATTGTAGGGCCTTTTTAGTATCTGACAAGCTGCATGAACAGTCATGAACAGTCTCTCTTCTGTTCTTTTTGTTTGTTAGTGTAAATTAAAAGTAAAAACTGCCAAAAAAGAAAAAAGGAGAAATGGTTAAGCTTGTACGAGGAGGAGCTCACTCAAGGACGATTTCTCACAGATGGGCCACAATGCAACATGACATAGCATGCCTCACTCCATGTGACTCAAACAACTTAAACTGAAGGTTATAAGAAACACATCACTGATAAAAGACACATAAAACATTTTAGATCTTTTTTTTTTCTTGTAGTTTACTCACCTGCTCTTACATGTGGCTCTTGTTCCTCTCTCTCTCTCTGAACTCCCTCCTCACTCTCCCACCTGAGTGTTGTTAGTAATCAGGTAGGGGGAGGCGCTCTGACGCATACACACACAGTTACAGTTAATTTGCGCTAAATTACAGCCCTGTACGGTGCCGGATATTATGATGACGCCAGATGATTTAAAAAAGAAGATCTGACTCACAGAAATAATGTGATATCAGATTAAAGCACCTCTGATTACGAAACGGAGCTATTTGAGGCGGACTGACAACACACTCACTGAAACCCTTAAACTTTATACTTTTTTACAAAGTGAGTCACAAATCGCTCATGATTTTTTTGTTTTCCCCACACACCATAAGATTTGGACCCTCATCATTAGCTTTTAAATAATACAATTTTCTTATTTGAGGCTATTCAATCACCAAAGACCCCAAAATTCCTGTTTGCCTCAATTTATGCTGCATTCCAGTTGTACTCTGAAGTCGGAATTCCTGAGCTCTGAGTCGAAAAATTCATCTGGAATGCCCCCTGAAGTCAGATTTCCGACTCAGAAAGTCTAATGATCCTCGCTAACCCTGACTTGACGACAATGGCATAATCCAAGATGGCAGCGCAGTGCATCAACAGTAAAGAGTAACAGTAAAAGCTCTCGTAAGGTAATATTTATTTATTAGCACTTCTGTTTTGTTTTTGTGAAATTAAATAAGTGGTAGTTTATGTTGTACTGCCCAACGTCTAACTGTGAACACGGTGCTATGGTGTTACAACTGGTATCGCTAACAACAACTAACAACAACTAACAACCTCTGACAACCGCTAACAACAGCTAACAATGCCTAACAACAGCTGACGATTGTAAACATCAGCTAACAACGGCTAACTGTAGGCGTCCATCTTGGTTTTCTGACTTGTTAACTGGAACGCCGTCAACTCAGGTGTAACATCGTTCCCAGCTCCAACATCCGAGTTCCGAGGTAACTGGAACGCAGCATAATTTGGATGGACTGCTCTTAGCTAAAAGGGGGTGCGGCCAATTTTCTTAGCAGGAAGTGACGTTTGATTGCTCTCATCCATTTCCCTATATCTGCCCACTTTTGAAATAACATTCATGACCTTCTTTGCTTTTAAAGCTCATAAAGAAGCATCTCTGATCATTTCAAAAAGAGATTTAGCATCCTTTCTTACAGAGATGCACCACTCCATTTTTTTCCCATCCAATCCAACACCTGTGCTGAGCGTATCGGCTGATATCCGATACCGATCCAATACTACTGTTGAATGAGTTATCTATATAGCTTGCCCTGTGAGTGAAGGCATCAGGCTTGACATTAGCTTTATTAAAGAAAAAAAAAGCTAACTAATTAACACAGATATAAATTATATTATTTATTAACAAATTTCACATTACCACACAGCAAAAAGAAGTAAGACTTCCATGTAAACATTTAGTGCAAAGGATAGACAGACGTAGAATATAGAGCGGAGAGAATCGCTGTTTTGCTGTGTTTGATATTGATAAAAGAAAAAATAGACTGGATCGGCGTCATTCATTCGACATCCGATCCAGTTAATTTGTCAACATCAGAGCCGATATCCAATCCAAATATTGGATCGGTGCATCCTTACTCCCTACTCCTCTTAAAGAGTGTAGAGCCACATGCTAGCAGCTGCTACTGATTTTGTTGATGCATTCCTGTCAGCGGTTGTTGACAGTTTTTACTTTGCTGAAAATACACACTGAACATAAACAACTTACTTAATAAAAGGCAGCCCTTGTTTAAGAAAGCTGTCAATGTAAAGCAGTCACTGCAGTAGATCCAGTCTCTGCATTAGCAGTCATTAAGTACAGCTCTGACTATCTTTACATCTTTATTGAGCTGCATCAAGAAGATGTCTCCATAAATGAGCTTAATTAGAAAAAACATACTGAATTACATGCATGCATCGTTTCCTGTGGGTCTCCTGTGGATCTCCTGTGTATGCCAAGGCAATTTAACTCTTATGTCAGAGAGTTGGGCTAACAGCTTCACTCATATAGAGAGAGAAGTACCGACTATAAATACAGTGAAACACTTCAGGGTAATAGCTTAAAACACAGTAAAGACAAAGCCGTTTGTCTCATGATTAACAAACCAAACCTTCTAAAGGAGGTCTTAAACCTTTCCGTGCGTGGACACGTGTAGCTGATGGTTTTAGTTTGCACATCTGCAGGACCTCCAGGAGTCAGACACAAGGATTGTCTGCAGGGTCACTTCTATTCATGTCAGTAAGCTGGGCTTATGTCCCAGCAGGCCGCTGAGGGTCAGTCAGCTCGGACAGAGAGCAGCCTCTGACAGGGACAGAGGGAGGAATGAAAATGAAGGTGCCACATAAACACAGGGGGGATCTATTCAACTGAGCCGAGGTGACATTTTTCTGACTGAGCCAGCCCTCACAAGAACACCTCTAAACTTTCAAATACCAACCTGCATCACACCTGAGCAGAACTCTGAAATGTAGAGATTTATATCATTCTTCCACCTGAAGAATGTTATAAATTGATCATATTTTTGTGATCGAACTCATTGTGTGACTGTTGACAGTATTAAACCATCTTTTCTTGACTGCCAGGTTGGAGTTCCTCAAGGCTCCATACTTGGACCTCTATTATTCTCATTATATGTAAATGATTTGCCAAATGTTTGTCCAGGCATCAATACTCAACCCTATGCTGATGATACAGTAGTTTTTATCAAAGCAATGTCTCAGTAAGTTTGTGGAAGTCTCATTAAAATTGACCTCAGCAGTGACTTGCATTGATGAGTGACCGGGAGCGTTTTTTTCATGCGTTTATTACGGACGTCAATATTTTTTTTTTGGAACCCAAATCCTGTCAATAGAAGCGTTCACATCAGCAACGTTTCCCCGTCCTGCGATATCGCGGCATTTATTTTTTCGTATCACGGACGATTTTTCTAAAGTTTCGCATTCTGTGTGTCCACTTCTGACCAATCAGATTTTGTGTTGTTGTGGCGTCTGATTCACCGGTATATCCAACATGGCCGACCAGCTGATTGTTTACATGTCGGAGAACAGAGTGCTTTTTGATAAAAAACACAAACACTACAAAGATCACGACCTGAAGGACAACTCGTGGAGAGTCATAGCATCGGATTTCTCATATGACGATGGTTTGTGTACTTTAACAGTTTTCTAAACGTCTTTGTTTTAACTTTCATCTGTGCTAAGTAACTTTAGCTCGTAAGCTAACCTGTACAGATACAACATACCATATGTATTTTCACTGTCTCAAACTCAATCTTGTTGCTGTCACAGCACTATTAGGTCTCGGTTGTTACCTTACGTTTATGGATTATAGTTTCATGTGCTTATCTGGTACTGGCCCCGACTCAGTACATGCTATCATGACAGACAGACATCTCAACACTAGAACTGAAAAACAGTCAGTCTGCTGTTGTGTCAGTCTTCTCGCTCCCCCCGGAAAGTCACAAAATCTCATCGGGCTTGATGTGTATAGTCAGGCGTGTCAAAATTCGCCTCTGAATATTTTGTGATTTTGTGTTATATATTTTCGTTGTTCCCGGTGTGTAAGGACCTTAAATCACGTCTTTTATTAAATTCTAAGAAAAATGTCTGTATGATGTTTTCAAAGCGCCCTCCAGTAAGGTCTAATTCAAACATACGTACAAATTGTAGATGAATTAAAATATCTGGGGGTTACCTTGGACTCAGCATTATCTTTTCAAAAAAAATGTAAAACGGGTGTGCACAATTGTAAATTTTAATCTTTGTAATTTCAGACAAATTCGATCATCATTGCCAGAAGATGCTGCTAAAATGTTTCTTCACTGTATAATATTTTCACATATTGAATATTGCATTAATAATTACTCACTCCATTGAGTTTTGATCATAATATTCTGCTTTGCAAATTAGCAATTAAAGATCCAAAATCATCTTTTTGCATCTTTAATAAAGGGAACTAAACATCTTTGTACTTCTACAGGTTCCTTTGTATAGTCGCTAAAAACAACAGGGATGAAGTATCCTATAAATACAAAATAGTGGATCATTCACAGACGAGATTAAAACCGAACAAATCTGCTGCATGTTTCATCTGATTCCTGCCAGAGAAAATAAACTTACAAGCATTAATTGATGCTTTTTCACAGGAAACATTCCTAAAAGCCCACGTTTTCAGCTCTGCCTCTGATTGGCTCCTCATGGCCACAGGCAATGAGTGGTCTTTGCACAAAATACCACTGGGTATTTTTTCTATAGGCAATTAAGCTGGAGTCTGTTTAGCTTCATACTTGGTTTAATTTGTACAGCTACCAACGGAAAACACATTCAGCTTGTTACAGAAATAGAAATCGAATCATTTCCTGCTGCCTCTCACCATGAGGGGGTTACTGATTGTATAAAAAAAGGCCCGCAGCATGTCAAAGGTTGAAATGATTGATATTTCTTATTTCAGATATTCATAAAGGGCGCTCCTTTAACCTTGTGAGTCTCTTTTTCGATGCAGCGGCATGGTTGATAAACAGAGGAGACGTGAAGCCTGAGCGTGTATCGTTGTAAACATGACAGCGACTCTCATGTTTACTCTCACACAGGGATAAATCATGTCTGGAGGTAAACAAATTCTTCATGTACCTGTGAATCTCCCACAGTGTCCATTAAAAGTTATGCTACATGAAATGAGACAAGCTGATTTTAAAGTTACAAACCCAAACTGTGAAAACCCTTCTAGCTTTGTAAAATAGGCTCATATGTACATAGTAGTTTGCATCTTGGCACAGATTGGTTTGAATTGGGCGTAGTTGCTCTTGGATATTGAGTATGTAATTAAAACAAATCCTTTTGACGGGTTAAAAGCTAAAGCAGAGCTACACTCAGGCTGAACATCTATCAGCGACTGTATAGGAAGGAACAGGTAAGTATAATAATCAACTTATCATTCCAGCATTAACACTGTCAGCTATTATATAATGGGGATTGAATGAGAAGGAGTGATAAGGTTCAAGCACTTAAGAGTTCAGCTCCAGGGCTAA